AACATGAAGAGGTGAGACAGGAAGTCATGAGACAGTAAGTCATGAAACATGAAGAGGTGAGACATGAAGAGGTGAGACATGAAGAGGTGAGACAGGAAAAGGTGAGACAGGAAGATGTGAGACATGAAGAGGTGAGATGTGAACAGGTGACACAGGAAGAAGTGAGACATGAAGACGTGAGACAGGAAGACGTGAGACATGAAGAGGTGAGACAGGAAGTCATGAGACAGTAAGTCATGAAACATGAAGAGGTGAGACATGAAGAGGTGAGACATGAAGAGGTGAGACAGGAAGATGTGAGACATGAAGAGGTGAGACGTGAACAGGTGACACAGGAAGAAGTGAGACAGGAAGACATGAGACAGGAAGAGGTGAGACAGGAAGAGGTGAGACAGGAAGAGGTGAGACAGGAAGAGGTGAGACAGGAAGAGGTGAGACATGAAGAGGTGAGACAGGAAGACATTAGACATGAAGAGGTGAGACATGAAGAGGTGAGACAGGAAGACGTGAGACATGAAGAGGTGAGACAGGAAGACATTAGACATGAAGAGGTGAGACATGAAGAGGTGAGACATGAAGAAGTGAGACATGAAGAGGTGAGACAGGAAGACATGAGACATGAGGACGTGAGACAAGAAGAGGTGAGACATGAAGAGGTGAGACATGAAGAGGTGAGACAGGAAGACGTGAGACAAGAAGACATGAGACATGAAGAGGTGAGACATGAAGAGGTGAGACAGGAAGACATGAGACATGAGGACGTGAGACAAGAAGAGGTGAGACATGAAGAGGTGAGACATGAAGAGGTGAGACAGGAAGACGTGAGACATGAAGACGTGAGACATGAAGAGGTGAGACAGGAAGACGTGAGACATGAAGAGGTGAGACAGGAAGACATGAGACATGAGGACGTGAGACAAGAAGAGGTGAGACATGAAGAGGTGAGACATGAAGAGGTGAGACATGAAGAGGTGAGACATGAAGACGTGAGACATGAAGAGGTGAGACAGGAAGACGTGAGACATGAAGAGGTGAGACATGAAGAGGTGAGACAGGAAGACGTGAGACATTAAGAGGTGAGACAGGAAGACGTGAGACATTAAGAGGTGAGACATGAAGAGGTGAGACAGGAAGATGTGAGACAGGAAGACGTGAGACAGGAAGACATGTGACATGAAGACGTGAGACATGAAG